TTTCGTGTGGATTAAAAATCACATCAAATTACTTTGAGTCAAATGTGAACATGGAGAAGCCGCTCTCAGTCACGACGCAGAACGGAATGAAGTGTCTGATGTTCTTAGAAATACTTCATCCACTGAAGTTTCTTAAAACCAGGTCAAACTTTGCAAGTGCCCTCAACTAAGTTGTTTTAAGTTTCACCATTATTTTATTATTTTACACAGTTCCATCAGTTACTTACTTTAATTTTCTCTGTCATTTATTTCTTAAATTTCATACAGATCTATCCTTTTGTGTTACTTTTACCTCATTATGTTTTATTTGCTACTAAATTAATATATTCTCACCGTGTCTCTGGTGTTTGCACAGCCGACTTGAATCTGTGGGTGTAATAAGCAGTGGCGCCTCTTTTCCAGCACTTACGGTGTCTGGGCCAACTCTCGCGATAGTTGCGGCGGCTGAGATCCCGGGAGCGGAGCAGAGGAAGTTGACATGTCAACAAAGATGACGAATTATCAGCGCGCAGGTAAAGTTACACGCTGTTTCGGGACGCATCGGAAATACCGGGTCCATCTCTACGGCGGATCGGCTTCGCGTGGCGCGGGAACAGCGACAGCACACGGCGGGAATCGAACAGAGACACGGCCGAAGTGTCGCGTCCACTTTAGCCTCGGTGACAGCCTGTCCTCCCGAGCGTGTCGCGGACCCGTTACTTGGCGCGTCGTCTGTCTCTGGTCCACGTTGACGCGCGAGGAGCTCGTGTCGGACGCGAAGCTTCGTTCACGTGTTTCACAAACTGCCGTGAACAACTTATGCTAACGGCTAACGTGTTAGCACCGTCGCTTCAGCAGCTCTCGGTCCTGTTAGCATGTTTTTTTTTTTTTTTACGACCTGTTTGGTCACAGCTGTGCAGCTCGTTAAACAGCACTTCCTGGTTGTTAAACTTTATTAACAATGACAACAGCTTAATGCTTCTTTTTGTAATATCACACTTTAAATCGAGCCCAGTGTTCACAGGGCATTCAGCCAGCTGGTAACTAGAACAGGTCTGTTATTATGAGAGATGGTTTGGATCAAAGCTTCAGCTAAATTAAAACATATTTTAGTGTTTAAACTTCTCCAGTGTAAAGATTTGACCCTTTTCTTTGCCGCACACTAAATATCTCTTGGTTCTGGTCGAATACAGTCAACTACTTGAAGTTGTGCCATTTGATTAAACCATTAGTATCAATATCAGTAAGTTCAATGTTGTGACATATAATACTAATACATATATAATACATAATGATCTATGGTCTCAGATCTGTGAAAATGTACCATGTTTGTCATTCTGTGCTCATGAAAAGCATAAAAACTTGTCTGTGTACTTGACGAAATAATTATTCAAGATAAATATAAGTATAGACTGATTCATTTTTGACAGACAGAATTTGAAGACTCTTTCACACTTTTTGGATGATTTAGAGAATAAACAACCAAGTGAGTAAACATAAATATTACTGACAAATAAATTGGTAATAAAAACAATTTAGTTTTCAAGACTTTTATTTCCTACTCTCTTCATCCTCCACGTTTTATAGTTCAAACTTCTCCAGTGTGAAGAGTTGACACATTTTTTCAGACTGTTTTTCAAATGCATAAAACTATTTGAAATAGAGCTGGGTGATGGAGCAATAACAATAATCATCACAATATAATTTTCTTAAGGTTTTAAAATAATAACACTTCACTAAGGAACAAAAATTATACCCATCAAGAAAGTCAAACTTGAAAGAAATTGATTGTTATAATAATCAATATGGACTGGTGTGAACATTTTATCCTGATACAGTTTTTAGCCATATTGCCCCGACCTAATTTGAACACATCCTGTTTCGATCTGGGAGATCTGTGAAATCAAGACTTTTTTTCATCAACTGTCAACTTGTCCTACTCTCTTACTCATCTTGAATTTCCTTCCTCTCCTCCTGCTGCCAAACATTAAATCAAGGCATGTAAGTGTGTGCTGGTCTGGAATGGCCTGACGAGGAACTTCACCTAGACCTAGACCTTCTCCTGCGTCACATTCACCTTCTGTCTCCATGACGACCCCTCCGCTAGTATCGCCTTTCGGCGCGCAGCCACCGCCGCAGCAGCAGCAACAGCAGCAAGCACAAGCAGCGCGTGATGTCAACACAGCCTCGCTGTGTCGCATCGGCCAGGAGACGGTCCAAGACATTGTGCTCAGGACCATGGAGATCTTCCAGCTCCTCAGGAACATGCAGGTCAGTCTCACTCTGCCTCTCTGCCCACATGCACGGCAGTCATGGTTTCAGTCTTCCTACAGTTTTCAGTTTTCCTCTCCTTCTTTCATTTCCTTTGCTGAGCTCTAACACCCTAGGAAACATTTAATGCCATAAGGACATTATCAAAAAAGAGATAAAAACTGTGAATCCGAGATACAACATAATCAAACAGATCTAAGTAAAAGATAAAACAACAGAATATTAGCATAAAAGGCCAAAGAATGGTCGTGTCACAAAAATATAAAGGAATATGCAAAAATAGTAATACTAGGTCTGGTGTTAACACTTCAAAGCACTATTATGCAAACAACAAAACAGCTGTCAGTCGATTAAAAATGTGTTTTTATGCAGGATTTGAAAACTGACAGTGGCAGCAGACTGAATACTAAAAGGAAGCTGTGACTTCAGTGCAGTCAGCCCAAAGCTTAACCCTCAACCCTCAATTTTAACTTCAGTTTCCTCAAAAAAACTAAAAAGACAAAATCAGGGAACACAAAAGGCCTTTAGAGAAAGTTTAGAATTTAGTGATATAATCATGCAGCCATTTGTTTGAATTTAGCGAAACAGTGAAATGGAAATTTTTCACAAAACACATTTGGACTTGTCACAGCAGGAAAAGGCTCTGGAGTGAATAGTAAAATTAATGATACACGAATTACATTACATACAGCTGCTTCAGTTGTAATATCATTATGGTTTTACTACCAGCATCCCCAACTTCAGGCTGCAGTCCTCAACACGAGTATACGCCAACTGAATGTCCTCGTCATTCAAACATTATAATGTCAGAGGCGAAGACTGAAAACAATCCTGTCGTCCTGGGTCAACTCTGTTTCTTAGAAGACCAGTTCGGCTTCAGCTTCTTTTTCATCCTCTATCATTAACACCGCAAAACAAATCAAACCATGGTTCAGTTTCATCCGCACCAGGACCAGCTCTTCAATATACTGTAATTTAGTCTACTGGTCCAGAGCGTGGTCTGATGCACCTTTCACAAAGGATCATGGCCATCGTTTCCCTCTGTTCTACATTTTTATTTGGTCAAACAAGTAATTTGTTGGGAGGTTATCTGTCTTGCATGCTATCAATGCACTGTCTTCATTAGGTCATGCCTCAAATATGACTTCACTGCAATCAAGTGACGGCAGATAGATGTCGAATCACTTCAAAAGCATTCCTTAAAGCGTTTTCTACTCAGGAAATGAGTCTTTTATATCAGTTTGTTTTGCGGTTCATGTGTAGTTCAGCTCTGACAGTGCTGAGGTCAGCAAGAGTTTATCGTGGATGTCGGCCAGCTCCTGAGAGATGCTCCTCCTGCACCCTGTTAAAATCGCAGCCTGAGACGGACCAAACGAGCACGTCTGAGCTGCAGAATGCTCAAACTGCATTGTTGTGACTTGTTTTTGTCTTTTATACTCATAAAAATTCTTCATTTATCTCTTCATCCCTGTCTCCCTCCCTCCCTCTGTCTCTCTGTCTGTGTGTCTTCCCCTTGCTCGCCCTGAAGGCAGACTTGTTTCATGTTCTGTAGATTCTGTTTATAATCAGACGGTGCTGCCCCAGAGGCTCGTCGATCCTCTCAATAAAAACATATCTCGTTACTCGTTTACACCCATTGTAGTTAAAAGCCAGAGATGCTGCCTCAGTATGAAGGTTAGAGAAAACAAAGGGCTGAAGCAGTTAACCTTTTGGTGCCAAGTTTGTGTGTGGGAGTGTAAATTGTAGTATAAATATATTGTCATGACTTGTTATCATATTGTTGCACGATCACACACATGTTTGACACATTTTCTGGTTTCTGTATTGTCTGTAGCTTTTATTCTTAACCAGAAAGGAAACTACCTCTGTGTTATCAGTTTAAATTAAAGTGTATATATTGCACATTAGTTGGAGGTTTCTAATGGACCATTACCAGTTTGAGAGCAGCAGAGACTTTGTATTGCTTTTGGCTGTGGGGATCAATGATTGTTGCTTTTTATCAACACTAAGGAAATTGTAGGCTTGTTCTTTGCTGAACCCAACATTTCCTCTGTGTTCCTTCCCAGCTGCCAAATGGGGTCACGTACCATCCCAACACCCACCAGGACAGGCTGGGAAAACTCCAGGAGCACCTACGTATGCTTTCTGTGCTGTTCCGAAAGCTGCGTCTTGTCTACGACAAATGCAATGAAAACTGTGCCGGACTGGACCCCATACCACCCGAGGTGAGACTCATTTGACACTGATCACCTCATCCATGAAATGTAGGGACAACCCTGACAAATCCTTGTCTTCAAATGTTGTGTTTTGTCCAAAACCGAGATAATTTGATACAGTTCGATCACATCATGCACTGATATGCTCATTCACCTGATTTTCCTTACGTGTTACATTAATTCACCAGCATCACAGTCATCAAATGAGAACTGTCAATTTCTGAGGTCTTTCCTATAGATCTCAAACATGTCGCTTTATTCACTGCTCCTGTTGAGTCAGTTGAGAAGTCTTTGTCAGGTTGTCCTTTCTTCTCACTTTGTTTGTATAAAACCAGAATCAACTGGTATTTTCTGCATTTTTATATTTTATGCCTCAGCGCGTGATTGGATGTTAATTGCTTAATTGCACCATGCAGTGCACCTGTGTGGAAGCGTCCGCATTCGACATGATTGTCTTAAAATTGATTCAGGTTTCTCCTTCAATTTGTCACCGTCTGTATTTTCAGTCAACATTATTGTCCTTCTCAGTCAAGCTTACCTACAATTATGAAAAATATGATATTAAATCTCATGTGAAAACATCAGGCTGGTGTTTCGGTTTCCTCCATTTCCAACACCAGTCTCTACTTTCATCTCTCTTTTTTGTGGTTTGTTTTGAGGACATTGTTGCTGGTCCTTTATAAAATCTTAAAATGCCTTAAACTCAACTTTATGATAAATAAAAAGGCCTAATTAATCAAATTATATATGTATAGACCATATTTACAACTCACAATTTACCTCATTAATATTTTAGGGCTCATCACCATGAAAAATTCTCTCCTGTCGGACTGAAGAAGAATTATTAGTTATGGTATGTGCTGCGTCGTTAGTCTGTTTGTGGTTGAGTTTATGAGCATGTGAAAATGCAAGTTTACTGAAGTGGGCTGTGTAGAAAGATTCGGGAGAATCTGGATCAAGGTGCTGGAGTCTCACAGTGTTTACTCTGAGCCAGTATATTCTCACTATTGGTGTGGTCGTAAAGGGTCTTAAAAGGTTTTAGAGGTCTTAACTTCAACTTGTCTATTGCTGTAGACAGTCTGCTATAGTTTACAGAGGACTGTGCTTGGGGTTTTCTTGACTGATATATAGACTCATCGAACTTTTAGGGTCCAGCGCTAATTTAGAACGATATGCTATTGGATTTTACTGTTTTATTGTTCATTGATTGGTACATTCTCAGTTGCTGCTGAGATGTTATCTCACCTTTTTAATCAAGTTATATTTTAATACTCACACACACACATTGTACAGATTGTGGTTGTAACAATTGATTAATCCTTCCAGATGCAACCGTCAACACATGATGCATGTGCTTAAGCAACTGTCACTCAAATTACCTACTAATTAGGAGGTTGTTAGCTGAATGGAAGAAGGACATTGTTTGTGACATTGTTGCTCATACGTACTCAAACACACACACACACACACACACACACGTGCACACTCACATAAACGCACATCTTTACCTTGGGGGACTCTTATCTCGCCTGCTCCCTTTTTCTCTGCGGGCAGCAGATTGATTGGTCACTTCAGGTGAGTCTCCAGAGTCTCTTTACCGCTGGTTACGGTCACCATCCACCTTCAGGAGCAGCAGCAGCTCAGCCGCACTGCACCCCCGCCTGCCTGCACTGACACACAGAAATACAGAGTGCATTGTAGAATGTCACGAAGGCAGTTTTCCCACCACCACACACACACTCACACACAATCAGAGGCTAACTGGGCATGCACTGCACTGTGCGAGGCTCCATGCAGGTCTACAGCTCGACCATCCACCACTGTTTGATTGGATTTATGACTGTGGCAGTCCCTTCCCAATTTTTACAGATTGGCTCGCAGCTAATCTCTCCAACCAGACTCCTACTGAGGATGAAGGAGGTTGTGGGAGGGGACCAGTCCTAAATTGGAACATGGCTGCCACCATGTACTGTACATTCTCGGCATTCAGCAGCATTTCCAATGATCTATCCACTAGTAGTTCACGAGGACTCTCGACTGCTGTTCTACTCATGAGTCTTTGAGTGGTTCACTTTGACATGTTCCTTCTCATCGAGTAATTCACCCCACTAATTAGTTGTTATCATTATTTAAATGTTTATAAATGTTCCCTTTGCGGCCGAGCTTCAGTCCAGTGCTGACCAGCCAATAGCTCAGCTCACCATATTTGTCTGGGGCGCTGGGTTTGTTGATTTTGGCCCCTGCACACATGCCATTTATCATCCCGCAGAATTCAGGTGCCCGCGTGACAGCCGCCCACTATTGGCTGCCCGAAACAGGAAGTGGAATCAATGACTCGGGCAGCGTGACCTCATCACAGCCTAATTAGCAACAGACCCGTTTAATGAACAGCTGGACGAAATGCACGTCAGCTCTTTCCCCTTCGCCTTTCCAGCTGCCGTTCGTTGTAGCTTTTTCCTCTTTCTTTCCTGAGCTCCCTTTTTTATTGCTGATGAATAATGGCTCTCTCCATTTCTTTCCTCGTATCCCTCCATCTTTCAGTCAATCTTCACATCGGCTTCATTTTCCAGCTGTCTTTCTATTTTTCCTCTGTCTCTGTTGTAAAATTTTTTTCCCCCTCTTGTCATTTCCTGAAGTGAACATCCATGCCATTTCATTTCCCTCTCCGCTTACACGTTCGCCCGACTATTTTCTTATTATTGTGTTATCGTTTTTGTTTGTCTTTTTCGATCCTTTTCCTTGTGTCTCAGCGAGGTAAGCTGGAAAACTTCATTGGCCCATTCTTCTCTGTCAGGCAGAAAACCACATCCATCTTTCTGTGGAAGAGGCAGAGGTTATGACTCATACACACACACACACACACACACACACACACACACACACACACACACACGTATGCTGCATGGCTACATGTGCACACATAATACACTCTACATCCATCTTTCCCACCCTACTCAGCACATTTCATTTTCCCCCCACGCGCTGCCAAAATCAGCCCACTACCTTTAAAATCCGATATGTCATTCCCTCTGGTATAAAATTACCCTATATGAAAAAAAACTTTTCCTACTTTTAAGTTTTTCTTGAGCCAGAGACAAGCTCATAGTTTGTCTGATATAATATGCTGCACATGTCCTTGCTTTCTTTTGTCCCAGAGTTTACAGTTTGGTTCGGAGCTCAGCCTGGAAACCGACAGGAGCACTTTTTTCCCCCAATCCCTTTATTTGTTTTATTCTCTCCTCCATTTTTTTTAGTTTCTATCTCATTTTTTCCTAACTATCTCCCTGCCCCCATCCACCCTGGTCATTTCCTTTCTATTCATCTGTTAGTTAAACTTTCCGTCTGCCTATTTATTTATTTTTCACTTCAACGTTGGCCAGCTCCAATCATACTCATACACTAGTCACTCATTGCTTCCAGATGAAGCAGCCTTATTGAATCATTGTCTAGCGTCTGCAGGTCCTCTGGTCCAACTGCAAAATCTGCACAATCAGGTCAAACGCTGCAGGAAAGAATAGAAGAATAACATCATACAACTATGAAGGATTGAGCTAAGTATTGGTCCAAGTCATGATGGGAACAAGGTGTGGCCATTTTTTTAGCTTCTGTTTGTTTTCAGAGTCTCATACCTAAGACAGTTTTTGTTTTGATACGGAAACTTAGTTAGTTAGAGAGTTAGAGATGTTAGTTTTTTCTCATGACAAGAACATCTGGCTCTTTGCTGCTGGAAACACATTAAACTAGTATCATACATCTTAAACTGCAGGGAAATTGCTCTGTAGATTTTGAGTGGGTGAGACTATAAAATTGACTTAACGTCAACATAACTGATATTATGTATTTCCTAGAAACGCTGTAGAATTGCTCAGACGTTTGACTGCATTTACACTGCGTGCCCTACAGTCGCTCTCGTTTTGACAAAATCCAATTCTGTGCTGTAGCTTTACTAAGATTATCAAGGATAACATCAATCCCATTTTGCGCAACATGTCCCAAACGTCCTGGGTATGAAGGAACAGTGTGTTCTCAAGAAAAAAAACGACAATATTTGATCTGTGGCTGCAGCAAACCTCCTGCTCTACTCCTCCTCTATGAGGCAACCATTAGGGGGCAGTGTGATGCAGAGCAGGAGGCAGTGACCCTGTCGGTTCTCAGGAACGCAGCCTCGTCTGAAGGCTGATGTGCATCAGCCTCACTGTAGTGTCAAGCAGACAAGGTCGAGTCCACACAGCGTTTAGAAATGAATTAATCTCTCTCTATGTCTCCCTCTCTCTCTCTCACATTGTTGATAATAGACGAGAGAGACTCGTCCTGTGTTCGAGAGCTTTACACAGAATCCCCATTGACACCCCTTCATGGGAGCACGATTATGACACACCACAGGGACGTCTTCACTATAGCTTTGTACTCATAGGTCGATTGCCAATATGTGCATAATGCAAACCTATAACTGTACTCAGCAGACATATTGGACTCCCTATGAGAGATGAGAATATGCAGTCCAGTGCTTGTTGTATCTTCCGAACATGGGCCGAGTAAAAGGGGAGGGGCATGTGTCAAAAGTGCTTCACTGAGTGAGTTTCATCCCAGAATGAGACCTTTTTTAAAAACAGCTGACAGCAACAACCCAATGATTATTTTACTGTTAATTTGTTTAATTCATTTGAATATGTCAGCTTTTCAGACGTGTATCCACATTCATGAATAATACAACCAGATCTTGGCTTGCTCTTCCTTCCAGCAACTTATACCCTTTGTGGAAGATGACAGCTCCAAACACGAGGACCGCTCAGCTGGCCAGAGCCGCCCCGCCACCGAGGAGAGGAGAGAAATCCTGGAGGTGAACAAGGTAATGTGTTGTATATCCCAACTAGCACTAATGAAATAAGAAGGTTACCATGAAGTTATTTTAGATCAGTAAAGTTTGTAGCCTGAAGGGGAAACTCTCAATTTACCAGTTCATCTGTCTCAACCCTCACGTATGATCTGGATGTGTGGGTCGTTAACTTCGTCACACATCTGCTTTCTGCCACCGCACACAAATCGTAAAATGGCAGAGTGAGTGAATTACTTTATATGGCCAGTATGCATAAAAAGATTCAAACAGGGAGGTGAGCTAATGAGCAGCTCTATAGTATATAAACGTATTTTAAATGTCTGAGAGCCGACCATTGACTGCAAATAGCATGGTAGTAGCTCGTGGTGTTTCTAATATTAACAGAAAGAAGAGATGACTTGGATTTTTTTTTTTACCGTCTCTCGTGAGTGAGGCTTTCACTTCTGGAAAGTGTCAGACATCAAACACACCTAAGAGCTTTTTCAAATGTGTTCACTGTCAGACATGTTTTTGCCCAGTTTTGATAGAGATGGTGTTTTATGACGCACAGAAGTCCGGAGCAGAGAGGTTTTCTTCCGACTGACACTCCATGTCAAGTCAAAGTCGGAAAGTTTGTTGCTGAAAGCCTGAGTCATGACTCAATTTAATGCCTGATCGGGAATTGGTTTGAGGACAGAGAGACGCAGGAAGATGGTCTCTCAGAGTTAATTATGCATAACCATCGATAACAGTCTTATTGCAGATGAAGCTGCATGAGAAACTACAAGAGAGCAAGTTAGAAGTGTGATATGTTGTTTTTCAAGTCCTGTTTGATTTAGCAACAGATTATTTTGCTAATAGCGAGTGAGTTGTCAAAAATGGCCAAACGCATTATTGCTTGTTTTATAATTTTGAGCGAACTTTGGATACAAGCCATCTCCTGTGGCTGCTTCACAATAATACCCAGCCTTTATTCCAGATGCTTTTAATGTCAAGCAGCAGCAGTTAGTTTGCTTTATAGTTCTAGTTTGACAGCTGCAATACGATTGTTATCACTGAGCGATAATACAAATGCAAACATCACTGATGGATTGCATGCATGTATGGTGTAGAATTGTAAATAGACTGAATGTCTACTGCTGAAAAATCACAAATACTATAAATACACAATATGGGGTTAGAGTTCATGTTCATTTTAAGGATTCATTTTTATTTGAATAGTGTATTTATGTGTTATGTAAATTTGAAAGGATGAAATGTTTCTGCAAGTGGGATGAGATAACCCCACTGTTTTAATTATTGAACCATGTCGTTGATTAGAAAATGAAAGTCAAAACATGACAAATCTCTCCAGCACCACAACAGAGACAGAGAATAAACTAGACTCAATAGAACAGTTGCACCAAATTTCACACACTCATAGATATCTGCTCCTTAAATTTGCCTAAATTTGTGACAGACAAAAAAAACACAACATTTTGATTTACGTGTTAAATCAATACAACGCAAGAATATATGTCTTAATACACTGTGTACCTTTTTGTCCAGGCTCTCTTAACGATGACAAACCCTGCCCCTTGACTTTTTAGCATTTGCCCCCAAAGATTAATTTTGCATCTAGGATTACGTTTAATCTCTCCCTGGGAAATGGGGCCTATCTAGATCAAGACATTCAAGACTTTAAAATGCCACATGCAAATAACAGCCTGAAGTTTACGAATCCTAGATCCTGCATAGATGCAGGAGAGGTAAACAGCCGGTTCGCTCATATCTCACCTGAGTATAGTTGTTTTAGAGACTGGAACATGGCTAAGGTTCAGGTAAAGCACATCATGCATAATAGAGAAGCCTTTTGTAGTTTGGTTCGTCTGTCATGGATTTATGTTTGTGTATTTTTGTGTGAATGAGTGAAAAAGCTTTTGTTCTTTCTTCAGGGAGGCAAGATGTGTTTGCTTTTTTTTGCTCTCACACATGCTTTCAGTATGTGCACGTGCAGACTGTAGCCGCTCTCTGTTTTTCTTTTGTATTGTGCTGGCCCGGTACGGATTGTGCATGCCAAGCCGTTTGAGTGTGCTGCAATGATAATGGTCCAAGGTCAGGAGTGTCGGCAGCAGAGATGAGAATTGGTTATTTTTAAGAGCTCAGCACAGCTCCCCTGGCTGCTTTTAAATGTTAACACTACAGTGAAACATTGCAGCGAACCCTGCTCAACTGCACTCAGCCACATCCAAAACAAACAGCATCCCCTTGTCACATACAGCCTCCATACACGCAACGAACACGCTACAAACCGGCTGATAATGTGGTAGATATATAACCTAGTGCAGTATTTTAAATGAAATAATAGACTGAATTACTGACATTAGTACCAGTTTTCTCTGTGAGTTTCAGTGACTGTACATAAAACACTGCCCTGGGAAGTGAGAGTAATTTCTTTCTATTAGAGACCTGTGTACTGAAGTGATAAATAACCTTGTTTATGATGTGACCTTCCCCCTATGCAAAGCATTAGCATGCAAATTGAGTTCCGTCAAATGATCCAAGCATATAGAGAAGACATGCTGCCGTATGTTTCAGGTCCAGCTTTCCTCACATTCTGCATTTCTTAGCACATTAAGTACAAGGACCTCATTATGCAGTGTATACAGAAGCAGTCTTCCTGTACATATATACAGTATATAGGCATGTATTATTTATTTAACTCTGAGCACATGAAATACACCATAAAGGCTGTTGATGTTGATTGTGTCCAACAAACAAATACACATATTACACAAAGGAGAACTTTATTTTTGCCGCCCTATTACATATTACATACCAAATCGCTCATTTCAGTGGTGCCAATATCTGCAGAGTTACGCTTGTTACTGGGATGTTTCTAATGCCTCGCTGCTTAGTCAAGGGGATAGGTCTAATTGCTGGTGTTTTCTTTGTTTAAAGTAAAAATCATCTGTAAGTTTTATGTTAGTTTTAAGTAACCTATTTTTTTACATTTGGGATTGTGTGGGATTTTTAGAAGCCAAATTTATTGCTACACCACAGACATCTTGTCACTTATCTATCTGCAACATCACTGAACATTTCAGGAAGCTGTGATGATCAGCAACTATTTGACCTCGGATACCAAATTGTTGGTCGAACCAAATTTGGGAAGCGGACCAAAAATGCTTTGGTTTTTTAATGTGATTGTTTTTTTGTTTAGTTTTTATCAAGCAGTGTAACTTATCAGCAGTATATTGACATTTCTAGTTTTTTTTAATGAGGAAATGTTCTCTTACAAGCAGTGTTTATATTGTTAAATCCCCAGCCAGCCTGACTCTTCCATAGGCTAAAACGTGACCTTATTGCAAACACACATTTCCAATCTGCCACTGGGATTTCCAGTGAACGCCTCATGTGTTCGCAACGTATTTAGCTGTGATTTTGGCCAGGCTGCCCAGCTGCACATAAAGGCAGCAGTAAGGACAGCAAGCTTTAGGGAGTTACAGCGGTTAGTCTGATCAGCAGAGTAGAGATGCAGTGGGACAGGGGAAGCAGATGTTTGTGGTCTGGCTACATCTGCTGCAGTCACTCCAGCCAGATCGGATAGTTCTGGATGAGAGGGGGGTTGTTGTGGTAGAAAAGCAGAAGGGAGATAAAAAAAAAAAAAGAGAGAGAAAAGGGTATGAGAGCTAAATGGCATAGAGATGTTAAGATGAAAAGGTTGGTGGAGTGAAAGATGAAAGATTTGTGATAGAAAAATGGAAAGTAAGCTTTCGGTTGAATCAAAGGTTAGAGAGAAATGGACTGTTCTGATGGAAAGGTGTTTGAGGATGGATGGGTGACCAGACAGACAGCTGCGTTGTCAGGGAGGAGAGACGTGTGAAGTGGACAGTAAAGGACAAAGGAACACTGAGAGATAAAATGCAAAGTAAAAAAAAAAAAAATCCATTCATTTGGTGTTTTTAAAACGAATGGAACATTGCATGGCAGTAGCAGCGAGCGAGGGGCCCCTTGATGTACAGGAAAGAAGAGACAGGTAAAAGATTGATGAAAGAATGGATTGAAAGATGTGTAGACAGCTGCGGATTGTCAGAGTTAAGCCGTTGCCATTCAGATAGGGTCTTCAAAAGGAATAACAGACGACTGATGAAATTCAGCTGCAGCAGGGAAAATAGGATACCTTCTGTTACAGGATGCTGAGAGGGAGAAAGAGAGAGAGGGAGGAGAAGATTGATGCATAAGTGAAAAGATAAGTCCAAGCATGCTGCAAACTCCCCAGCTGATATGTCACACTGGTTTACGATTGGTAGCCTCATATTTCCCCTTAGAGAAGCCGAAAGTAGATTTTTTGGAAAGATGACTTCTATCAAAATTTAAATTCACTCACAGCTGTAAATAATGAACAATGACATAATGCAGCTTCATGGGGAAGGAGATGGGGAGAGCGATAGGACTGCAAACTAATAGGATTCTGTATCAGTGGATGAGGATTTTTTTTTGACACTCAGTTCTGAGTGAAATAACCTTGGAACAGACACCACCCTTGTTACCATTCGACAGAAGAAGCCGATCTGAAGAGAGCCATTGAAGTGTGCTCTCAGCTCACAAGACGGAATAATGTAAAGCAGTCTTGTTGGCTCGGCCTAAATATGAGCGCCATCCAATCCCTACCTAATCCCTGTCTACAGCCCTGCTTCTGCTATAGGCTGTGGGGAAATATTGACATTACATCTGTGACCTGTAAGCCAAGGGATGTTGTGCAGCCTGGTGTTGATATTTATTGCTTGCCATCTTCCTTTTCACTCATTGGATCGTCTTTTTTTGACGGTTGTGGAGCTCAGTTTGGAAGAGCAATTGGCAACTACCACAACTGCAGCTGATCTCCTGAGAGACATGTCAATTAAGGCACATGTGACTAAAAGCACGCATGTCTTTCAGTGTTAATATCCCCCTAATAGAGGAATAACCTTTGAAAATGCCACTAAGACCTTCATTAGAACGAGTGAAATTGGTTTGTGAGACTCTACTCGTGGAAACACTCCATTGATTGG